CAGGCGTCCGACGGCATCCATCCGGATGAAATTCGTCGCAGAGAGCAGCTCCCTTTTGGGTGGAACATTGTTCTATAAACTAATCACACGGCACCTATACGACTGTCCCCAAGGGCAACCACGTAGCCGTTTTTGAGACAAGGATAACTTTTATCACTAACCAAACTAGTGGTAACAGTTGACATCTGAGTCGGATTACCGCCTGTATTACTTGGGATAAATGCAGGGGGTACCTCTTGAGTTAATAGCCAACAAACATTGGCGAATCAAAAGGTTCAGCCGGCCTCCGCCGCCTGGTACCTTTACTACTCAAGCAGGAGTGACGGCGACTGAGTAACACCAAAGTTAACTCATAGTCACTCTCTCAAACTTAGTATGGAGCCTAAAAGGTATGAGTCGTCCGCCTGTTTTTAGCAAACAGGGGCTCTCAACCACTACTCCTGCTAGGTTAACCTTCAAGGGGTTCAGCCGGCCTCAGCCGCCTGGTACCTCTACTACTCAATCTAGAATGAGGACGACTGAGTAACACCAACGTTAACTCATAGTCACTCTCCCAAACTTGGTATGGAACCTAAAAAGTTTGAATAGACCACCTGTTTTTTGACAAACAAGGGCATTCAAACTACTATTCCTACTAGGTTTCCCTTCGAGTTAATAGCCAACAAACATTGGCGAATAAAGGGGAACAACCGGTACCCACCGCTTGATACCTCTACTACTCAATCACTCGGCGACTAGGTAAGAGCCATATTTACTTAGTCACCCCTTAAAAATTTTAGTATGAAATTAAAAAGTTCATACAACACCTATTCACACTGATAGGAAACAGTCGTCCTAGACTGCCTATAGCAAAAAAAACACAAGTAAGAAAACCCTTTCTTACTTGGTTAATTTTACAAATGACAGGACCGCCTGCCTAAAGGTAATCCAGTCATAGACTGCCTACAAGTCTAAGTAAGAAAACCCTTTCTTACTTGGTTAATTTTACTAACAACAGGACCGCCTGCCTAAAGGTAATCCAGTCTTTTAAACGGGACCAATACCGATTGAATAAATGGCCGACTGATCGCCCAGCTTGGAAACAGACAACCAGTCGTCCAGGGGCATAGGCGGACCATCCGTACCTGTCTACAATCGGCCATGCAAAACAGTCGATATAGTGTACAATTCAATATCAAATATTCAACACTTAGACAAATTTCAAGCAAAATAAAATATTCAGAACCCCGGCCCCCTGGCCAGGTAAATACAAGCAAACGGCACGCAGGCCGTGAAAGAAGACATAAAAGCTTAAGAAGGGGGCAAGTCTTCAACATTAGCAGCGTCCGCCTGGTCAGCATTCCCCTTGTTAGACTCGGCCTCAGCTGCATCCTTCTTCGATGCCTTGCCCCCAAGTGGCACAAGCGCCACTATCGGCTGCTCATCCCCATCCAAGGCCTCCTCCAACGCCTCGTCCTCAGCAGCCGCCAGGATCTCTTGATTATATGTTTCAGAACACTGGCGGTACGTTTTTTCCCACGAGGCAAAGTCGGCACTGGGGAAGAGGCGGCTCCAGGTCATGCGCTGGATCTGGGAAGAGTCTTCCATCATCTCTCGGACGAGCTCTCTCTTCTCTTGCTCAGCCTTCTCCGAGAGCTCTTTAGTTAGACTCTTCTCCTGGGTCACCAGGCGTTCCTTTACGTTAGCCAAGGATTTCTCCATGGCTTCGTATGAGAGCATCTTTTGGCGGAGAGGTTTAAGCTCGGCCTTGAGATTGGAGACGGTCGCCTCCAGCTCGCTGTTCCTCTTCTGGGCCGCCTCTAACTGAGCCCGGATAGCGGCGGCAGCCTGCGCCTGATAATAAAGAATATCAATTGTCAGAACTTCATTTTGGGCAATTTGAAACATTGCCTTATCACAGTCAGAGGCGGCCATAGCTTTTGCAGCCTTTACCTCTTTGTTTCTCCGATCAAGCGGCTTGCGAAGGCCGTTCACTCGGAGCAGGGCCTAAGTAAAGAGAAAACATGCGTCAGTTTCCAAACAAAAAGATAACGGGCGTCCTGGAATTCAAATACTCAAAAAATGCTAAGTATACCTCAGCAAGGACCCCTGCAATCCCATCAAGGTCAAGGGTGCCGACACCCCTGACCGCCTCCCTTTCAGATGGAGGAACTGCTTTGATCATGGACTTGGCTACCTCTACCAAGTCAGGCTCCTGAGGGCCGGCTGCATCAAGCGTAAAAAAGCAAGTTAGACCTAGTCAAGAAGGAAGCAAGTGTAAAAGTTTTTACAAGTAATTGTCCATACTTCTAGGCGGCCCCGCCGGAGTTTTAGAAGAAGTGGCCGGCTGCTTCTCAGCCGCCACTGTTTTCCTGGAAGACCCAGGAGAGCTTGCAACAGTCGTCCTCCGGGCCTTGGGGTCCGGCTGTTGCGAGGAAGAAGCTCTTGGAGTGCCCGACTGAAAAAAAAAAAAAAAAGAGTTAGTATATGCATAAGACAACAACTCCTAAAAGAGGAAGAGTTTCGAAGCCCACCAAGGGTGCCCCCTTGTTGGGGGAGTCGGTACAAGACTGTTGCATGAGAGAGGCCCGCAACATGGCCGCCGCAGTCTTGGATGCTGTTATTTTACTCATGGCGTCAGCTGCAAAAAAAATAAACAGCAAAGTTAATAAAAATCCCAAGTAAACAAGGCGTGAAAAAACAGAGTATTTGTCAGGCCGGCTACCTCTAGAGCACCGACTGCTGAGGCCACAGGCGGCCAAAAAGTACTCGTCATAGAGCCACTTGAAGCTCGGGACGCAGTTTAGGGGTACTTGCTCTCGTACCCCTTAAGTAGAGTTCACCCTAGTCTCTACTTTGAAGAGTCCTTTGTCTAGGATCTCTTTTTTAGCCTTTAGGGGAACAGGCGGCATGCTGCGGCCGCCTGCGAGAAGAGGCGGATCCCTATTCCACTTGTTAAAGCGTTTGTTCAGCTCCGTGTCTGAACCCTCGATGATAAGGAAGGTGTTCCGGCAATCCTTCCATTTGTTCGCCTTACCTCTCGTCATGAGGTAGCCCCTATGGCTTGTTAATTGATACCAGCCGGTACCGCCCGACTTAGGGGTCTGGCTGAGATAGTTCATGTGGGCGAAAGCCTCAAAGCTTGGCTCCACCCCGTACATTTCGCACCCGGCCACATAGCCGAGTACGTTTACCCAAGAGTTGGGGGCTAACTGCCATAACCCCAAATCATACCCATCTAAAATCCGCTGAACAGCCGGATGTAATGGGAAGCGCAGTCCAGCTTTGATGGCCGCCACATAGCAGCCAAAGCAGCCGTCATCATAGCTGGTACCAGCCGGCCAGACGACAGTGTCTTCTGGATCCGGCACGAACAGTAAAAATCCGGGGCCCATTCTGTGGTTAGCTATAAAGCTCTCCACTTTGTCTTGCATGGCTGCGATCCGGCCCCGGGGTACCGTGCAGTAGTAGGGGGTGTTTTCCTCTCTGTAAGAGGCGGACGGCTCCGCCCAATTGCCCCCCTTCTCAACTGCATGAGAAAGCCTCGCCTCTTGTAGGCGGCTGTTTCTTTCTTCTGAGCCTGGAGAAGCGTGGCCAGAAGAGCTGGACTCGGACTCGTCCTCTGACGAGTCCGAAGAGGACGATTCCTCCCCTCTCCCAGAGGGGCCCGCCTCCTCTCCCTTAGAAGGAGCAGGAGAAAAGTTAGACATATCAACGGTGAAATGGGAAGGGACCACCTTGACCCCTCCCTCAGAACTGTCGGCTTGGCAGCCGCCTTGTTTCACTTCTACATCTGGCGCCTTGTCAGATGTTTCACTAATGGGCACCCTTTGGGAGGAGCCGTCCGAGTTTGAGATCCTAGCAGTCTTTTTTGTTCTGGCCATCACGTTCTGCATAGACACAGATACAGTCGGACTTTGTATAAAGGGCAAAGATGGGTCCAGAAAAGGGCAGGCGACACTCCTAGTCCTAGATTCAGCCGTCCCCGGTGACCGGCTGATCACTAACTTAGGTCGTGTCGTGTGCTTCCATGGTGCCATTTCAAAAAATAATAATAAGAAAAAAATTAAGAATAAGAGAACCGACGGTTACCTGAACGAGTGACGACTGATGAAATTCTGAAATCCTTTGCAAACGGCTTGTCAGAGCAGGCGGTAGGCAACAAAAGTCCAAAGTGTCAGAGCAAGTTCAGGGGTCCGAATGTTCTCTCGCAAAGTTCTCAAATGTGAAAATGACCGAAGTCAGCACTTCCTTATATAGGCAAAGTGAGAAGGCGAAGGGTCGCTTCCAAATTCAAAATTTGGGCGGGAAAATCTCTCGGCCATTTGCAAGGTGACACCTGTAGCAGGCCGTCGCCTGTCACCATGCGACACCTGTCACAGGTGACACGTGACCAGTCACGTGCCACCTGTGAGGGGCAAATGATTAGGGGATTTTTATCCACCAATCACCGTCTGACAAGTGGACCAACCAGGTTCCGCCACGTGTCCTTCACGTAGGCCAATAGGAGCCTGCCACGTGTCAATCACAGATACGTCCTCTACGGACCAATTGAGACACGGCACGTGTCCACCCATGCCAAATGGGAAAACCGGCCAACAAGGCCCAATCCTGTTTAGAGGCCCAGTCAGCCCTAGGTTTACCCTAAACCTAGAGAGTGGCACGCTTCCCGAGGTTATAAATACCCCTCTTAATCCTCATTAAGAGAGGGAGGACTCGAAAACAACACACGGATTACACATTAATGACTCTCACCTAGAGAAGTCTAAACACATTGATCACTCCTCCCCTAGAGGAACCAGATCTCCCCCCTTTAATTTCCGCACTTATTACTCCTCAAACAAGTACTGACTTGATCGGTGGAGGCGGAGCTCCTACCACAAGGAGTCTTCGTTGTTTTGCAGGTACAAGCGTCCGGTTCCAGTCTGGGTGTTGTAACTCTCCCGCAGGACACCAGAAAACCCCGAAATAGGTTGGATATTTATCATCGGTTAGGGTTGAAACGGGGTAACTTAATTAAGTCATTTATTTGCTTGCTCGGGTACGGTTAAATTTTAGTCCAGTTAAATTATGTTGAGTACATAGTATAATATTTACAAATATAAAATTAAAAATAAATGATACTAAACTAACAAAATTAAGAATAAAGTGAAAAGAATTTAAGCCTAACTCGAGTCACAGATTGTGATATGAAGGGTCATATTACTCAATACTCATATTGATCTGTCTTGTTTGACAAGTCCATTAGCCGGATTGATTCAACACTTTGATGAATTATAAAGTAAAAAAAAAAAAAAACATATCTTCTTTGGTACCACTTCAGTCACCTTCTACAAGGCTGCCCTAATTAATCTCCGTGATAAACAAATTTCGTTTATCACGGGAAAAACTGCTACCTCAAGTAATGATTTTACCCATTTTCACAGTAAAAATTATACTTTTGTCCCTGTGATAAACAAAACAGAGATAAACTTGTATTTTCTCCACCTTCTACACCACAATGACCTCAATTTTGCACAATGTAACATGTGTAACTAAATTAACTGACGATAAACTCTTGCTATGTTTCTAACGAATTTAACTACCCACAACCAACTATCCAGTCGTATGCAATCTCTACTATGGGCAGTGAGCTCTTGCCGCTCCCTTGTGAATTGCCAAGCTATCCATGCCTTAGTAATCAAATCCCAATTCATCAATAATGGCTTTATTGGTGATCGTTTAGTGTCAATCTATACGAGTTTGGGTTTCAACGATTATGCACGTAAGATGTTTGATGAAATTCCTGACAAAGATTTGGTTTCTTGGAATTCATTCATTTCTGGGTTTTCTAAAAGGGGGATTCTTGCTTTATGCTTGAATGCGTTTCAACGTATGCGAAATGAAGCAGACCTCAAGCCTAATAAGGTTACTCTGTTGTCGGTTATTTCAGCTTGTACGGTTGATGGAGCTTTGTGTGAAGGGAAATGCTTTCATGGGTTTGGTGTAAAAATGGGATATATGGAGGAAGTTAAGGTTGCTAATGTTTTGATTAACATGTATGGAAAGTTGGGTATGTTAGATGCAGCTTATGTATTGTTTAATACCATGAAAGCGCGCAGTTTGGTTACGTGGAACTCCATTCTCGCTTTACATGCTCAACATGGGCATTCTGATGATGTTGTGGGTTTATTCAACTTAATGAGAAGAGCTGGAGTTAAGCCTGATCAAGCTACTATGGTTGCTTTACTTCAAGGGTGCACTGAATTGGGGGTTGTCAAACAGGCAACAGTTGTTCATGCTTGTATATTCAAGTGCGGGTTTGAGGGTGATATGCTTGTTTCGACTTCTCTTATGAGCTTATATGCGAAATCAGGACAGCTGATTGCTGCGAACGTTATTTTTGGAGAGTTAACAAAACCAGATGCAGTAGCTTGGACATCTATGCTTGCAAGTTATGCTATGCATGGGTGTGGGAGTGAAGCAATCAAGCTTTTTGAGAACATGGTTGATGGTGGAATTTACCCTGATCATGTTACCTTCACTCATTTGTTAAGTGCTTGCAGCCATGCTGGTCTTATTTCTGAGGGAAGAAAATACTTCGAGGATATGTTCAGAGTTTATGGAGTTCAGCCTAGGATAGATCATTATTCATGCATGGTTGACTTACTAGGCCGTGCTGGGCTTCTTGAAGACGCTGTTAGTCTGATTAGGAGCATGCCAATGAAGCCAAATGTTGGTGTTTGGGGTGCCCTTCTTGGTGCTTGTAGGATTCACAACAATGTAGAGTTAGGGAAGGAAGCAGCAGATAATTTGTTTCTGTTAAACTCATCTGATCACCGAAATTATATCATGTTATCAAATATATATTCTGCCTCTGGTCAATGGAAAGATGCTTCCAAAATTAGGTCTATGATGAAAGGAAGGCGTTTAGTTGGGGACCCTGGATATAGTCTGTTTGAACATGGAAACAGAGTTTATCAATTTGTAGTAGGGGATCAGTCTCATCCAAATTCGGACAAGATCTATGCAAAATTGGAAGAAATAGTCAGGAAAGTTCACGAAGCAGGGCTGGTGCGGCAAACAGAATTCATCTTGCATGATGTTGAGGAGGAAGTTAAGATAGATATGATCAATAAGCACAGTGAGAAGCTAGCACTTGCTTTCGGTTTGCTGGTGACTAACACTAGTATTCCAATTACTATAATAAAGAACCTTAGAATCTGTGGTGACTGTCATTCTGTGATGAAGTTTGTGTCATTGATTGAGAAGCGTACTATTATTGTCCGGGATCCAAAACGGTTCCATCATTTTGCTAATGGGATGTGTTCTTGCAAGGATTATTGGTGATTATATTCCTTGGCTTTTGCAAATAGTTGCAACAGATGAGTTTGGTACTTACTAAGACCTGAAAGGATTTCTGTCAATTACTACATTAGGTAAACATGATTTGTGCTCACCCGTGCTATAATACTCTTATATCTATCTTTGCCTTGTTAAAAGTTTTTCATGCTCCCTTGGTTATCCACACTGCTGTTTATGTCATATTGAAGTCTACACTAGCTTTTAATTCTAGAATGCAGCCCATGCATTTTCACTCAATCCAAATACCAAGCTGATGCAAGCACACTTTTTCTCAGCTCGTACTACAGCACAGGTGCTCTTCAGATTGAGTATCACCTTGGACAATATCTTCTGCGTAAACATTAACTTATTACCGTCGTACCTATTATGCTTTCAGGGACTTTGGATATGATCATCAATATCCAAGTCCCCTTCTCCATTAAATATTGGAAATAGCAAACATCAAATAAGTCCTGCTAGTGGTCATCTTAGCAACTAAACTAAGGAAAATTGAGCATCAAAAATGAATTGGAGCAGTTATATGGTCAAAAGAACTGGAAGATTATGTTAGATGCATTGAAGACTTCATCTTCATGAGTGTACATCAATCTTAGTTGCATTCTAAAATTTGAACAAAAGACACCAATGCAAAAGGGAATTATGCATCTAGAAAAATCAACTGTTTATTCTTTATCTAAAATGAATTTTTATTAGGTAAATGAACGCCTTAATTACTTACAGATAACAGGAAAATTAGTTGTCGCGAGCAGGAAATGTCAGACTGATGAATAATGCAGCCACATAGGTACAGGGTAAAACCAAAAAGGATGAGTGCAAGAATCATATGTTAAGCTGCATATATTAACGGTTTGAAATTTTTATTTGACATCATTAAAGACAACTCGCAACCTAAACGATAGAAATACTTAAAATTTTTCAGGAGTAAGTAATCCTGCCCTACAAGCAATAGCAGCATTTTGAGCTTGACGAAATTGAGATCTTGAGACCTTGTGCACACAACACCAATTCAACTGCAAAGCTTGACATCTGATTTCCTGGATTGTCCATAATAGTGAAATGTCCAGTGGCATACTTCCCTGTAAAAGCTGTACCAGATTATGAGAACCAGTGTAGATGCTTACGTTATGTAATCGGTGTATTGCTGCCCATTTGATACCATGTAAACAAGCCAAAGCATCCATCTGTAAGGCAGAGACTCCGGAGGTCTGCAAGCAGCTACCATGTATTGTCTGCAATCGATCATCTTTCATAATCCAAGCTGCCCCGCCTGTCATAGACCTTTTGTGCCATGAGCCAGCAATTTGCATGACAGTATCAGCTTCTCCAATTGGATTTCGCCCAATATTTGCTACTCGAGAATCCAGAGGTTGAGCTTCAGGAGCTTGGTACTGCATTACTGCATTCGATGCTTCTGCTAGGATACAAATTTCAGTAAACCTAATTTCAGTTGATAATTAATTCAACCATTACAAATTTAAAAGCAGAATAATATGAGTAGCTAATAAAGTAATAAAAAATGAACCAAAAAAAGCCGTACTCCTATTAGGTTAAAATGAGCAGCACAATTTTGCAGAGTAATAACACGAAAATACAAAAGAAACAAAAGATAAAATTACCACCGAAGATGAGGAGTTAATAAGCGTACAATTGTTTGTCTTAGAAATCGAGGTTTCTGAGTTTAGAAAAGGGAAATTCGAAGTGTGAAACAACCAGATCAATTAATGTATTCCAAAGTTAATTAGCCTAGATGAAGATCAATTAATGTAAGGATGAATACGGTCATCTTGTCTTTACCTTAATTTTTGCAGAAATGGATTTATTTTTACTAAAATGAAATTATTTCTAATGAATATGAAGAGGACAAGCCGTACATGAAAAATGAGTACATCATATTTTTTTAATATTCAAGTGTTAAAACTTTTACTAAGGCCTTATTCACTTCACTTTAAAAAAAAAAAATTCAATAAAAATAGTTTCAGTTCAGTAAAAATAAGTTTATTTCAGTAAAAATAATTTCAATTCAGTAAAATTAATTTTATTTCAGTAAAAAATCGGTAACTGTAAAGAAGAAATATAATAAAGAATCAGTAAAAATAATTTCAGTTCAGTAAAAATAATTTAAGTTCAACAAAAATAATTTCTATTTTGTAAAAATAAGGTGAGGTGAACGGGGCCTTATTGATTATTATAGATATTATTGGTTAAATTTTACATTGGATACATGTGTAGCCGTGTAGGAGAAACATTTCACTTAAACAAACAAAAGGGATATCTAACTGAATTAAGTAAAAATAAAATAACTTGATATTATGAAAAAATTAGGATGAATCTAATAAAATCCCAAGTTACTATATGTTAAGAAAAGCAAAGGAAAAAAAAAATGATATAAAAATCTTATGATAATATCATAAGAAGTAATAATTTTGATTAATACTTTATTTTGATTCATGTTGGGACTTCCAACAAACCATGACCAAAACTAAACAATCTTACATAGTTTCTTTATTAATTTACCCAAATTGTCACCAATGTAAAATTCCGATGCTTAATATTATACAAGTAAATTTCACTATCAGTTGCTTTCCAAGAACAATGATGACCTTACTTTCTCTATTCGTATTAAACAAAGTGAAGATAACTTAAATTTCACAGTTTAAACTATTTTTTTTTTACTTAACTTAACTAGAATAATTATACTTTCTCTGTTCATATTATTTGACACATTTTATTTAGGCATGAAGAAGTTTCAATCAGGTCTAATAAGTTAAATACGTTTCAATAAAAACTAATAATTAATCAACTAAATTTCACTATTTATTTTTTTCAATTCACTATTTAGTAAACCAAATTCCACTTATATGAAGTTCTGATCTTGTAATAGTTGTATATAGAGTGGTATCCATTAATGAATTAGTTTAATGCGAAGACAATGCACCCGGGTGCATAAGCCAACGGGTTCCAACAAAAGTTAATGAAACATGGTGATTGGATTGGCCTATTGAAGGTAATATAGATATATTATATACAAAATACATTGCTTCTAATTTATTTGAGATTTAGAATACAAGCTTACATAACTTTAAACGTTGCTACGTTCATGAAAAACTAACAAAGCTCAAACAGGAACAAGCACAACAAAATGACTACAGACAACATAAATGCCTTGACTAATCTGGAGATAACATAAAAGAGCTAAGTAGTCTCGGATGTGGAATATGAGGTTGGGCACGGAGGTTCCGGAACTTGAACGAGTCCTTCAAGCATCTCTACGACCCTCCTCGTCGTGGGTCGTAGACATGGGTCATCTTGGATGCACCATATACAAATTTTTACCATTCTTTCTAATCTTTTCTTGTCATTTAGAGCCTCAGTATCATCCTTGACAAGTTCGTCAATTGTTTCCATTTGATAGCAGTCGAAGGCCCAATCAGTCAGAAGGATGACACCCTCCTCTTCATTGTTTTCACCCTGCACATTCCTCTGACAACATATTATCTCAAGTAACAGAATCCCAAAGCTGTAAACATCTACTTTTGCTGTGATGGGCATATTCTTGAACCATTCAGGGGCCACATATCCTCTTGTTCCCCTTGGTGCGGTATTTGTTTGGGTCTGATCCAATCTCAAAAGCTTTGCCAATCCAAAGTCTGATATTCGAGCATTATGATCATCATCCAGAAGTATGTTCTGTGGTTTTATATCACAGTGGATGACCTGGGTGCTGCAGTCTTCGTGCAAGTAGAAGAGTCCCCGAGCAATGCCCTGGGCAATCCGCAACCTCTTCTCCCAGGTTGGCTTAGGAGGCTGATAGAGGAAGTCAGATAAAGTACCATTGCTCATATACTCATACACAAGCATCCGATGCTCTTCTTCCTCACAGAATCCTACAAGCTTGACCAGATTTTTGTGATGCGTGTGACCTATCGAGTTCACTTCTGCCTTAAATTCCTTATCTGCATTTTGTGACAAGGCGTCCAATTTTTTGACAGCAATAGGAGTTTGAGTGCCCAATTGGTCACTGATAAAACCTTTGTAGACCACCCCAAAAGCGCCTCGTCCTAGTTCTTCATTGAACCTATTTGTAGCCTCATTAAGCTCCTTGTAGCTGAAGCTGCGGACACTGTAATTTCCACTTACTTTTGGGTTCTTACGATGTTCAAAGAAATAAAATCCGATGACAACAATACCAAGCAAAACAATATTGGCTGACCCTGACGTAGCTAGAAGTGCTGTCAACACCTTTTTTATTCTGTTATACTGCCTTTCATTGAAGCCACTGCTAATTCTGACCTTGATAAATGCTGTTCGACCAACAGAACCATCATCCTTCCCGTTTGTGAGAGGAAGCTTCTTTTTCCAGCAATCCCTACTTTCCCTGAAAATTCCAACAGCACAGAAGCAATCTGCCAGACAAACTTCTCTACACCAATCTATGGAAACATTCTGAAAGTGCTCATAATCAGACAGCGGCCAGTCTACATCTTTCAGCACCTTGAAATCAAAACGATTATTTTCTGGTGTTGTTTTGTCACAGCTCTGTGGAAGAAAACTCTGGAAGCATCCACTCATCTCATCTTCAGGATCTAAAACTGTGTAGCCCGGAGGGCATATGCAGTGCGGTTTGCTGTCGTTTCCTAACTTGCAGTAGCTGTTGTAACCACACACCCCGCTGCCTGTTTTCTGTATAACAGCTGTACAAATGTTATCTGGAGCAAAAGACTTGATTGACCATCCACCACCGGTAAGAGACGATGATTTTTTGTAGACATAATGTCTTAAAACACCGTCAAATTCAAGAATTACCCTCTGATAGATCACTTGTTTTTCAGATAATTCATTGGAGAACATGTCAGTAACAATGCTACCATTTCTGGCTACAAGATACAAGACGCCAGATTGGTTAAAAACCACCTGGTGTCCTACCTCTTTGTAAGACAAGTAGTATTCGTTTAAACTGTTGTAAAGAGGGAAGTGTGTGGTGTATAATGCAGCATTTCCATCTCTTAGTAGTGTAAATGAAAACCTGCCACCTGAATAGTTTTTTTCTGTGAAGCGAGCAATGAGCTTCCCACCAAGGTTCAGTACCTGCGTGGGCAAAAGAGTGTCAGTTGGCTCGTCAAAGCTTTGCCAAAGTATAGCCGAAGCCTGAGTTGCCAGCATGAAATTGCCAGTGTCAAGTATGGCTGCGTAGGAGAGCCTTTCACCACGACTGCTGCCATTGCTTACCAACTTAGCTCTCCATATCTCTAGCCCATCGGAGTTGGTTAGTGTCAAACCTTTGTCAGTAGTCAACTCTACTTTCGAGCCACTCAATACAAGATGATCTCTATTGGCACACCATGTAATGGTCTTTTCAGGGATTTGATTGAACCAAATGGCCAAGAGGAAACTTCCGGGTTCAATCTCCTTGAACCCGAAAGCAAAGTCTTTAGAAGGAGATACCCACGACGAAGAGGAATCACCTGCCTTGAGGAATGAACCTAAGGTTATATTGTTGTAAGCTTGAGCTGTGGTAGGAAAGGGTAAGAAAATGCAAATGAAAATGAAAATCAAATAAGGTAGTGGCAATGCCATGGAATAAGTTTAACTGGGGCTGGGAGTAACATATACAAAGTACTTGATTTTTTATTTATTTTTTTATATTTTTTTTTTTCTGAAGTTGTAACTCTGCTTTGAAAGAGGTTCTTGGTGCTGGTATAAATATTGTTGCTGTCACAAAAATTCCCTATTATTATTTTATTTTAATTTTTTTATTTATGTTTCTTGGTATATACTTTGATGATTTTTGTAAAGAGTCTTTCTTTAGCTATTAAAAAAAATAATAATAATAATAAAAAAAAAAGAACAAATAAATAGAGGAGACTTTCTTTGCCTGGTCTTTTTGCACTCTTGCTTCTACTCGTCCAGTTTAAAGACTTTTCTTTGTGGAAAGAAATACTATAACTAATACTCTGAAATGATTTAAAGACTTTTCTTTGTGGAAAGAAATACTTTGTAGTCCATTACAGGTAGAGGTGTTGATTAAGAGTGTTCGGGTCGAGTTTTGTGAGATCGGGTCTGGTTAATTTTCAAATTTGAATCATGCAAAATTATTATGTCCGTACATTTTCAAATATCTGGTTTTATTTGGGTCAATTTTGAATCGGGTCGGTCGGGTCAGTTTTTGACATCTCTAAATTATATGTTGTTATTTTTTTAACTTTTTTTTTTTTTGGCTTGCAATTTTTTTACTTCTATAATTTTTTATTTTTTTGACACATTTTACTTATTAATTTTATTCTCTCTTATTCAACAACTAGGTTAAAATCCCGTGCAATGCACGGTTGTTAAATATTTTTGACAATAATATTACAAAAAATAAAGTATATAAAAGATATTCAGAAATATTTTATTTGGGTATATATGGAATATGATTGTCAAACTGGAAAGAAAATATCATAAGGTATAAAAAGTTTACTTAAAGATTTTGCAAAAAAAAAAAAAAAAAAAAAAAAAAAGGAGAGAAGAGAGAGAGAAGCGAAAAAGGCGGGAAATTTTTTCACAAAGTAATGACTAGTGTCATGGAATGATTTGCTTTTATTATAGGTTAATAGATGTTTGCTGATTTATATTTCAAAGGCAAATATGTTCATGTGAATTTTTTAAACTTCATTTCAGTATATACGTACTTTTTTTTTAAATTTTTTATTATAACTTTGCTTAATTACTTCTCTAGAAAAATTGATTTTAATAGTCCCAACTTTTAGTCATCTGCCATAAACACTTCCACTTTTTGATTATCCTGTAATGGGTCTAACTTTGAGGATTCTTCCCAAATGGTCCTTAACTTGTTATAACCTGTTTAACAGGTTAAAAATATCAAATGTCGCATTTATTTATTTATTTGCCTCCACCACCCTCTCTCCACCCACCTTAGCTTCACCCTTTTTCACCACCCTCATGTAGCCTAGCCAACCACTTTCAAGTCCAGTTGCCTCCCTTACACCCCTTAACACTTTACCCCTCTAGCCACCTTCTCGGCCACCATCAAATCACCTCCTTCTCTCTTTTTCTCTCATGACAAACCACCCACCACCGCTGTTTAACTACCATGACCACCACCTTCTATCTCCTTCTTTCTTTCTTTCTCCACCACAAACACCACCTTCTTTCTGTGTTTCTTCCTGGTCACGCCGACCACTAGTGTGAGAAAAGAATTTATCTCTTTTTTAAAAATAAAAAATCATAGAATTGTAACACATGGCATTAATAACCGGTTGACCTGGTCATTTGAGGTTGATGACCTAGTTATTTTCTTCAATTACGTTGTTTTTATAATGAAACTAAAAATTGGATAATTAAAAAAAAATGTTGATGATACAATTTTATACCAAAAATAAAGAAATATACTCTATAACTTTAAGAAAAATAAGTCAATCATGAAATGTATAATCATTCTCATAACATTATACGGAGTTGCATTGTAGTCATACTTCAATCAACCATTATAAAATTTTTATATTTTATGGCTTTAATATCATGTAAAAATATCAATCAACTAAAATCTAACTTGATGGTTGAAGCCTCATAATTGTTTGTAAATTCTATCACCAACTATAACTTAAAGCCTTGGAGAGTGTTACATTTGTAAAGGACTAATAATCGAGTTGGTCTCAAGGGCAACAGAAATCAGAAGGTACACTAGAGGTGTCAAAACCTCACCTGACCGATCTGATCCGAATTTGACCCGAAGAATATCCGATTTAGATTTCAACTCACATAGACATAATAATTTAGCATGACTTAAGTTTGAAATTAGACCTGATTTGACCTGACCCGATCTTACCGAACCGGAACTAAATACCCAAATTACCGAATTGACACCTCTAGGTACACTGCCACACTGGCGTAGTGGCGTGAAGTAAGGGCAACTGGGCAAGTAATTGTGTTACGTTTGTGAGGGTTTAAATGACTGATTGACATTGATTTTGTTATAAACGAATATGGAATGAAATGGTTACGCATGTGGCATGTCCCAAATTTGAGAGCCAGGGGAGCTGTTTATTTTCTATAACTTGGTTGAATTTAGCAGACTATTATAACTCTAAAAGTCTAACAAGGCTGAGCCCAACTGCACTCCAGAAGTACATACATGTTGACTTGAAGTCGTCTCTACAAATTGACTATGAGAAGTGAGTTGACCATGTTGAAAGAAAGATTAGAAGAGTTAAACGCATATAAGGAGTATTTAATAAGTGCCCTAGCAAACCCAATAAATCCAACATGGTAATCACTTATGTCTTATTGAGTTATTGTGATATGGTTGTACCTTTTATAGAGTATATATCAATTATCGCACTTAAAAATAAAATGAACGTTAATTTCCCTTAACATGTTGGTTTAAGGTCTATAACCTAAATCAATGGGTATCAACCCAAAAGACTAGTATTATTTAATCAAAATTCTCCGGCTGTCATGATCCAATCCAATTAACATGTCTAGTAATAATTATTCAATCTAGAATATAGAATGTAAATTACTCCCCCACACATATAATAATGTCACTAGCGTCACTAGGCAAACTAACCATATGTAATACTATTGAAATTTGACAGCTATAAACTGAAAATTTAAACCTGACTAAACATTATCTCGTATGTATTACAATTGTTAAAGATTTAAACCCGACTAGCTAAACATTACATTATTATCTTTATCGTGCATTATTGTCCTCCAAGAACTTGTTACCTCTCTTTTGGGTAGATATTTCTAAGTTCCACATGAAAAGTATAAGTCATGAGATTTTTTATGAGGCTTCAAAAAAAAAATGTCCAACACAAATCCATACGGAATAAATCCAAAGCATACAATATCATATAAATGGGTGTGCTGTCTAAATAAATGTGATTTAAAGTCTATGTGAGTAAATTTCAAGGTCATTGACTAGTTCTATTCTTACAATCAATTGATTGCACTATAATTGTGGACCTTCACTGCTGGTTGAAAATTCAAACCTAACTGAATACATCATTGGGGTACAATCCAAGATTGTCCTAATCGGGATCCTAAGTGGGATCAACATTGCCAACATAACGTTTGGACTACGATTAATGTCAGGTACTCTCTCCGTTTTTAATTACTTGCTTCATTTCTTCATGTACGGAGTTTTAGGAGAAATTGAAAAAGTAATAAAATATGAAGGTAGTGAAGTTGGTGGAAGAATAAAAAACTGTAAAAAGCAAAAGTAGTTAAGAGAATCGGAGGAGAGAGTCTAAAAATAATAAAATATGATTTATGTTAGGTCCACTAGTTAAGATAAATGAATTAAATTTTGTAAAAGCTTTCTAAATAAGGAAATGGAACAAGTAATTAAAAATGGCCGAAAATGAAAAGTAAAGCAAGTAATTAAAAATTGATAGACAAAAGTATGTAAATTTTTTTGAATTGTGTTTATTTAGTATTCATGATTGAATACTTAAAAGTTTAAACAAATGAGCATACGAACTGCTGAGTGCTTATTTAATAAAAATTCATGTGTAATGCTCTGTTCACTTCACCTTATTTTTTGTAAAATGAAATTATTTTACTAAACTGAAATTATTTTTGTTGAATTTTAAATAATTTTTACTTAACCGAAATTATTTTTTGCTAAAGTGAAACTATTTTTACTGATTCTCTATAATTTTTCTTTTTAAAAGATATTGAATTTTACTCAACTAAAATTATTTTTACTGAATATTATTTTTGTAAGGAGAAGTGAAAAGGGCCTAAGTATCTATATTAATGTAAAATCATATATAGATGAATAGATCCTACCCCTCATTATCTTTATCCAAGTAGAAATGTAAAATCCTACCAACCTTAAAATCCTACATACGATCTAGATCGATCTCATGGTTGTTTTGGATCGAATAAGGATTTTACAACCAACACTTTTTTTTTTGTTTCTTTTTTTTGTTAATTTGCTCATTTAAAACTTCTAGATGAGCAAATTTTAATTATAGTACACCGCTTTGGTTTCAACATTATATATGGAACATTACCTAATAAAAAATGCAGCTTTAGTTTATGTAATGCATTTGCCCTTTAGGGTCTTCAAAAACAATGATGTTTGTGTCACACTTAAATGTTTAGGCATATGATTGATCCCACGCGCACCTTTGCCAATTGTTTGAGGATAATCATTTACTTTGTATAAACTATTTTATGATGTCCAGGAAGAGGTTGTTACATTTTAATTATAGTACACCGCTTTGGTTTCAACATTATACCGTTACTAAGATTGAGTGATTGAAAAAGTACGTGAATAGTTCAAATTTAAATGGGTAATTAATCTATCAACAATCAAGGAAAATTACTTTGAATTGATTTGGATTCATGGTTATTTTAAGCGTAATGAGCAGTCAAAGCAAATTACTTTAAGGCAGCTAGTAAAAAGTTACAAGGGATTAATTTAGAACAACAGCATCAGTCCTCTCAATGCATAAAGAGTACTTCAGATTATATACATTCATCATCGAGGTTCAGGATATGTATGACTGAATGAAACTTCGTTTACTGATGTGAAGCCAGCAGATGATAATGATGACAGGCCGCTTGTTGCCTGATCTGTATCTGATGCATGGCTCCTCCATGCCAAATTTTGCTCCATGGTAGATACACTTGGCTCACCACTGACAATCTCCATAAGATATGCTGGTTCTGAAGGAGATGGGAGGCTTTGGGAACAACCTTCGAGCACTAGAACTACATCTTTCATGATAGGCCTGCACCCAACATTTTCTTGTACACAAAGTAGTCCTATATGAATGCATCGTGTTATGTCATTGACTTGCCCATCTTCCCTCAGTAACATCGGGTCTATCAGTTCTAGAAGTTGTCCCTCCTTCCAGCATTTCCACGCCTGCAGAAAGTTTTTTAAGAAAATTGTAATTGAAGATAAGCTAGTTATCATTTGTTACTGGCGTATGCATACAGAGTTGTGTGTTCACCTTGCTTAATAGGTGCTCAAGCCGGCTTGGGTTGTTAGTTGCACTGTTTTTTCTTCCAGTAACAATTTCTAAGAGTAACACACCAAAGCTGAACACATCAACCTTTGTTGAAATCTTTCCATATTTTGCATATTCCGGAGGCATGTAACCACTGTAAAATATCAACAATATCACGGTAAGGAAATTTCTTGAATACTATATCTGTATCACAAGTTACTCTTTCCGTTGTCAGTGAATTTTATTACAGAAACTCGACCACTTTGGGTTTATTAGTGGTCAGACTCAGCTCACTTCATGCCTATCTGCATTTACAGGAAGTTGATACTACTCAGTTACTTACAATGTACCAACAATTCTAGAAGCACTTCCATGGTCTTCAAGAAAGAGTCTTGCTGTCCCAAAATCAGAAATTTTTGGATTCATGGACGCGTCTAGTAAAATATTACTAGCTTTGAGATCACGATGAATAATCCTCAACTGAGATTCTTCGTGCAGATAAAGCAGTCCACGTGCTATTCCTTCAATTATATTGTAACGGATCTTCCAAGTTAAATTCTCCCTTCTATTTGAATCTACAACACACCCACAACAACAAAAAATAAATAAAAGAGACAGAACTGTATGCTGTATGGAACTGATTAATGGTCTTTAAGAATAAAGGATTGTAGAATGGTTGAAATTTACTGAATAAAATATGATCTAGGCTTCCGCTGAGTGCTAGTTCATAGATTAAAATCCGTTCTTTAACTCCCAAGCAAAATCCAATGAGCCTGACTAGATTTTTGTGATGAAGCCTAGCCACTAACTGTACTTCATTTTTGAATTCGGCTTCTCCATGTGCAGTACGACAAGTTAGCCTCTTAACCGCAACTAGCAGGCCATTTGGAAGCCTTCCCTGTACAAGAACATAAACATACACTTTATTTAGATATTAAGTCCTTCATATTCTCAAGAAGTGAGGTAAGCTGCCATACCCTGTAAACCACACCAAAACCACCTTGACCAAGCTTGTTGGTTTCAGAAAAGTCATTTGTCGCAGATCTTATTGTTTTGAAGCTGAACTCGAAGCACGACTCTATACTTCCAGCTCCAACAATGTCATCTGTTAGTGTACATACAGTATTAATAATAATAATAATATCTGACTTTAACAAAAAATATTGAGCAACTGTCTTTAGATTATTACTTTTAAGGTCTAAAAATGAATGTGATCACTTCCTCTTTCTGTAAACAAAAAACAAATCAAAAGAAGGCAGGAAATAAATAGAAGACAGGAACAATTTCCATAAGTTCCAAGAAGCAAAATCTTTTCTGCTTCATATCTGATGATTGTTGTGTCTAAAGTTCCCAATTCTGTCAGCATGTACATTAGTACAAACAATGCCCTCCTTTACTAATAAAAATGATAACTTTTCTCGGCATTTTTACAGATTATATTTGTGAAATTCAATACAAGAACAACCAATTACCAAACCACACTCTAACTTTTGTTGAGATGTAAACCAAGTTTTCATGTCCATAATCACTGATTATACTGCTAATAATGCACTATTACTCATAACAGTAAAAACTTGACAATTATCCTTAGGGAGCTGAATTGAGCAATAGAAGTTTATAATTTGTATAACTCTTAGCTGATGACCTCATACACTGTAATAATAAAAGACTTATTTTAGTTCAAAGATATTAAAACTATTGATAAACAATATCCAATAAACAAAAAGTCCCCACTTAACATCGTACCTAAATAACGAAGAAAAAAAAAACTCCATTTCAAATTCTTTCAGTTTTTTTTGTAAACCTACTACATTTAACTGTGCTGAAAGACTTCAAAACTCTATCTCAGTATAATAAATTAATGACATTTACTGACCTTTGTGATCCCAGTGTTGCTTCCTTTTCTTCAAGATCATCCTAGTGCCAATTATGAGGACCGATAATGTTACAACACTAATTATAGGAAGGATAATAGTAAACACAGCTGTTCTGTTTTCTGCTCTACTCTCTGCACAATCAAAAAAGGAATGGACATTAAATTTAGAATTCACAGCTTTTCATAATCTGAATTAGATACATGAAGGGGAAACAAACTTTTTCTGGTGTTAGACGAGGGAGAAACTGAAGGTGATGGAGCAACAGATTTGGTAGACTTGTAGAATGGATAGAGTTCATATCGTAGAACACAACCAGGTGTAAAAATCCTTGCTCCGCTCTTTCCATTACAGTATTTATCACTTTGATTTGCGGCTTCTTTCAAGCAGGCAGTACAATCACTTGCAGATAAGCTAGGAAGACAATAGCCACCTGCATAGATGGTCAGATGGTCAACAAGTTTTGCTTCTTCAGTTGCAAAGTACTGAGGCTCGTTGTATCCGGAAGGGAAAGAGGATGAAGTTCCTTCAGCAGCTACTTTAACAGCAAGTTTAGCTGTTACATTAGCTAATGTCCCACCAAACCGAGAGAGGTTAATAGCTGAGACACCGGTAGCATTGCACGCGTGTTCTGAAGGGTGTGTGTCATCTGTTTGTGGCTTTAGGGTGGCTGGAGGGATGCATTGAACCATACAGTCGGCGTCTGCCCCCCAAGCAACGATCTGTTTTTGGACAGGACAATTGCGGCTGAGATCAGAGGCTGATTTGCTGATGCAGTTGTAACAGTCATCAGAAGAAATCAGGTCTTTCCTACAAAGGCCTAGACAGTCAGGAAGTGGTGTTGGGGGATACACTATGGCTGTAGTACTGTAAAAACCATCCTGGTCTTTCACACCATCAGCAAGTGCAGAGAGTAGGCTATTCCGAGATCGGATATACTGACTGTCACTGCTGAAGTTGCCGGTGGAGTAGCATCGGTAATAAGTATTACCTGCTGCTAACATTAGGCTATGATTCATGACAAAGTACAGAAACCAAAATATCCCCATTTATGTCAGAGTTATGTGGTAAGAAGATCAGTAAATAGTTGTTTGAGTATAAGAGGAAATTTGTAACAAACTGCCTAGCCCAGTTGCCCAAACCACTAGTCATTTTCCTACTTTAAGAGACAAAAATGTAACAGGACTCGTTGACATGATAGGCATGTCAAGGGCAAGATATAAACGCAGCTTGAACTTTAAACCCTAATACTTTAACCGGTTAATCTAATTAACATAGCATACCAACAGTCCAACACTGACCCTTTTTTTTTTTTTTTTTTTTTTTTTTTTTTTTTTTTAAAGACTCTGTAGAGAGTCCAAGATCTTGCGTAAAAATTGTGTCATTTGGAGTATTTGATTTGGAGGTATTTGAAATATTACATTCAAAGGCCGTAAGAGTAAAGACTTGAAATTTATGCAAGAACGATGGAATAGAGGAATTAAATTTTGTGGAAAAGTCATGTAATCAAATAGTACAGGCGTATAACTCCATTCTCCAAGTGCTTTCTTTAATTTACTTTAGCTGTTTGGTCACATACGTGAATAAAGTTGGCCCAATAATCATATTCATCTTTGTCTTACTCCGATCCAATCCTTTTTGTTTTTTCCACTTTTACCGTTTGACTAACTCTGATCCGATCTTTTTTGTTTGTCACTCTTTTACTTTCAAATACGTAAGAGTTCTCTACGTTCTTTTTTCTTTTTATACAAACCTCAGTTATAACATTCCGAAATTCTTTTATTCTTAAATAAACCCTTGCTAAAAATATTTTCAACTTGAGTACGAGACAATAATGAGCAAAAACTAGTTGGTGAACTAGGTTTTCTTTTATTAGGTGATACAATAATGGTCAAATGCCCATTTCGCCTTCCATTAAATAAAGTTTGATAAATAGACAAAGCATGCAGCTACCAAAATTGTACTCTCTCCGTTTCGTATTAATCGCAAGACTTTCCTTTTACATCGGTTTCATATTAAATACAACACTTTTATGTTTGGAAAGGACCATTATTTTATAATTTCTCTCTCCCACTAACCCTACTTTCACAAATATTTTATTATTTCTCTTTTCTACCAATTCCACTTATACTACTTTTTTTATTATTTCTCTCTCTTACCAACAATACTTTATATTATAAAAAACCCTCTTTTGGGTCCCACTCTATAAATTTTCTAAACCTTTGTGAACACCTTAATGTTACGATTAATACGAAACGGAAGGAGTAATATGAAAAGCAACTGAAAACAACGAATGACTCATAGATAAAATTGTACTACAGGTCTACAGCAATACACACATCAATTCCCAAAGTCTTAGCAATATAACAAACAAAGATTAACAAACAAAACAAAACAAAATATGGTAGCACTACTAGAAAACAAGTCATTTCCAATGGAAAAATTTCGTTGGAAAACCCGTTGTCGGAAAAGATGTTTTAGGAAAAACAACCTTTTCCGATGGAACTTTCGACGGAATTCTTTCGTCGGAAGAGATTTTCCGGGCTCGGAAAAGTCCGCCGGAAATTTCCGACGGAAGCAAATCCGCCGGAAACTTTCGACGAAAATTCTATGGAAACTGATTTAATGAAATTAAAAAAAAAATACGCCGCACTACCAGCGGCACGGCGTATCACCACCTCAGAACACCACCAGCCCTTAACTAACCCTAAGCCCAGACCACCATCAGACTGTCACTCCCCAAACTAACCCTGATCCACCTACCACCACTACCACCGAACCCTAACCCAGATCCACCCAAATCAGCCACCATCACCGAACCCTAACCCAGATTCACCAACTACCACCACCGAACCCTGATCGGAAACTAACCCAGATTCACCAACTACCACCACCGAACCCTGATCGAAAACTAACCCAAATTCACCAACCACCACCACCACCACCGCACCCTAACCCAGACCCACCTAACCCAAACCCTGACCGAACTCTAACCTAGATCCTCCCATATCCTCCTAAATCCTAAACCCACCTAGATCTAAACTATCCCCACCCTTACCCTAAACCACCTAACCCAGACCCACCAAACCCAAACCCAGATCCACCCAAACCCTGACCGAACCCACACCCAATCCAACCCACCTAAAATCATCATTGCATCATGAACGACCAAACCAACCACCACAACCCAAAAGTTTAATAAAAAATTCAAAAACAAAAATTAAAAACATTAAAACGCACCTTAAAAATCGAATTAGCTTCGAATTTCACCTCGAACCTTGTTTACTAAGGCCAAATTCGACTATGAAAACTCTAGATCTAGCATTTTCATGGTCGAATTTGACCTTAAAAACCGTTAATGTGTTATAAACCATCACCATTATCGGCTTTTACCCACCATGGATAACATCAGAGAAGAGAAGAAGAGGAGAGGGGCGTGAGAAAAAATTAGAGAAGAGAAGAGGCGTGAAAAGAGAAGAGGAAAGAGGAGAGGAGAGAGAAATGAGAAATGAAAAGGGGAGGGGGATAATTCCGTTTTAATTAGGGTTTTGGTTTTTTTTTTTTTTTTTGTTTTTAAAAAAAAAACCATAATTCCGTCGGAAAGGGTTTAAATTCTGTCGGAAATTTCCGACAGGATTAATTTCGGCGAGTCCATTGATGGTCAGCTTAAGTTGGTCAACTTCTTCTTAGCCGGCAATTGTTCTGAACTTTTTCATGTGTCGAATTGGTCTATCGAAGAGTAGTACTTGAACGAATGTGTTGTTCTTGACCAAATGCTGTGGAAAGGGAAACCATGGTCACTCATTGTCAATTACTTGACTTGGTCCAATTCAACATGTGTAGATGGGGAAAGATCATAGTGTATGGGGTGAATGATATGTATGGGGAAATCATGTAGGAAGATATGTAGGAAGGTATATGTGAATGTGGAAGGATATGGAAATTTTGTGGGAATAAGATGGACCCTCAACTCAAATGACGGAAAGGACGACTCATGTATGGACCTAAGACATGGTCATGGTGTGAAAAAAGTATGTACAAAGTGTGTGAAGACTCGTGAGTGAAAGTGATATGTTTAAGACTCGTGTAATAACCATGTGACTAAACATGTGGTTAGACTCATATAAGACCAAAAAAGACCTTGTTTATTCATTGAACCGGTTAATTATGGAAATTAGACTTGACACGAAAAGAAATAAAAAAGGTTGGACGCTAAAAAAAACTCCTTAACTGGACAGGCTGTAGTATTTCAGTCATAAATTTTGATCTATGACTCTGATTGGGACGAAACCAACGCCAAATGAAAGATAAAACTCTGGGCTACACAATCATAGGTTGTACAACACGTAACTCTTTTTAGAACTCCGGATATGACCAAAACAAGTTGACTCTTGTGCAGGATACGGGAATGAAAAATCCGAGTTGACTCAAGATAAAAAAGAAAGAGCTATGACTCGATTTTAGACATATTTATAAGTTCAAATTAATTAATCAAAGTCCTTTTTAGTCATTAATTAGTTTGTTAAGACTTTATTTACAGAAACAAGTCAACATGACCGGTTAGTTTAACCACAAATAAGGTATGCACAAGTAGTCAAATAGTCACAACATGATGCAATGAGTTTGCAACCTAACCACGGCTCTAGTTCTCTAAATTTCAAGGATTATGGTAGTTAAATAGGGTCCATGGTTATGAGTGCAGATGCATCGCGCGGAAGCCTTACCTTTGAAAGGGTTGGCGCGTATGGATGGGACCCCACAAGCACTACTAGAAATAGGTCGATTTCCGACGGAAAGTTTCCGACGGATATGTATTTCCGTCGGAAAAATCATAAATTTCGACGAATTTTCTACTCTGTAGGAAAGTTCCGACGGAAGTTAAATCCGTAGGGAAAATATAGGTTTTCCAACGGAATGTTCCGTCGGGACAATAAACTTCCAACGGAAAAAAAATCCGTCGGAACATCAACCTTCCTACGGAAATAATATCCGTAAGAAATTTCCTACGCAATATTCTGTCGGAACATTAAATTTCCGACGGAATATTCTGTCGGAATCTAATTATAAATCTAATTATAAAAAAAAAAAAAAAAAAAATTAGAAACCCTAAATACACGGACCCTTCCCCAACCCATTTTAATTTCTCTTTCCTCTCATCTTCTCTCTCACCGCCTCTCCTTGTTCTCTCTCCTCTCTTCTTCTCTTTCTCTCTCCTCTCTTCTAGTTCTTTCCCTTCTCATCTCCTTCTCGCCTCTTCTTCCTCTTCGTCCCCCTTTTCTGACCACCTCAACGTCAACACAACAACCACACCACCGCCCGCAGCGACAACAACAACCACCTCAACGACAACAACAACACCAGCAGGCAGCCGCAACGACACAACAACACCGGCAGGCAGCCGCAACGACAACAACCCACAACTGTAGATCTAGGTTTTTTTTTTTTAAAAACAAATTCTGATTATAATTTTTTTTTGATATAATTGTAATGTTATTTTATTAATTTCGTAAGATAATTGTTTATTTATTTATTTGGTTTGATTTCAATTTTTTTGTTTATTTTTTTCGATTTTTGGATGTTTCGCTGTTTTTCGATTTTTGGATGTTTCAATTTCTAGGTTGGGTTGGGGTTGTGGGGGGTGTAGTCTGGGGTTGGGTTGGGGTGGTGCAGAGTGTGGTCTGGGTTGGGTTGGGGTGGTGGGGTGTGTGGTCTGGGTTGGGTTGGGGTGGTGGGGGGGTGTGGTCTGGGTTGGGAGGGTGGTGGATCTGGTTTGTTGTTTAGGGTGAGGGTGATGGTGGTTTGTTGTTTAGGGTGAGGGTGGTGGTGGTGGTGGTTGATGTTACGAGGTGGTGATACGCCTTGCCGGAGGTGGCAGGGGCGTGTTTTTTTTTTTTATTTTTTTTAGCAGATTCCGACGTAAATTCCGGCGGAATATTCCGGCGGATTTGTATTCCGTCAGAATTTTCCGACGGACTTTCCGGTGGCCGGAATAGCTCTTCCAACGAAAATGTTCCGTCGGAAAACACTGCTCTGACGGAAATTCCGTCCTAAACGGTCGTTTTTCCTACACATGGGTTTACGACGACCTGTTCCGACGGAATTTCAGGGTTTTCCGAGGGATTTTTTTCGTCGTTGATTATATTGGTTTTTTTCTAGTAGTGAAGTTAGACTTGCTTCCATGGTTTGGTGAATTCACAAACTCGGATGTACCCGTCGTTGCACGAAGCGTTCGATTGAGTAGATGGAGCGTGAATTCCCAAGGGCTAAGACCATATGTAGAATACATATGGGTTCAGAAAAGAAGGAAAAAAACTTAATGAGGAAGTAGAATCTGCAAAACAGTACTAGAATCGGTCAAAACAAGAAGGCAGATTTTTGGCTCTATGTTGGAAGAACTTGGCGTGAGAAAACAGGGTCCATCGCGCAGCGATAACCCCATCGCGTCGCGACAGTTCCTACACTTCGTGGCAGCTTTCTGTGTTCTCGGAATTTTCCGATTTTTCGTAGTATTTTTTTCGATTCTAGTTGTGAAAGATATTTCCAAATTTTCCTAC